AGTGATAGCAAGTTTAGAGAAGCTGCCTCTCCCAGCAGTTCCTTTTCTTAAAAGAAAACCCTGTAGGGCCGGCCCGGTGGTGCACTGCTACAGTGCGCCGCTTGGGAGTGTGGCGGCGCTCCCGCTGAGGGTTCGGATCCCACATACAGACCAGTTCCCGCTCACTGGCTGAGCGAGGTGCGGGCGCAGCACCGAGGGTTGCGATCCCGTTGCCGGTCCCGGTCCGGTACGGGCGCGGCCCTGGGGGTTGCGATCCGTTGCCAGACACAAAAAAAAAAAAAAGACAAAAAAAAAAAAGAAAACCCTGTAGGGCCGGCCCGGTGGTGCACTGCTACAGTGCGCCGCTTGGGAGTGTGGCGGCGCCCCCGCCGAGGGTTCGGATCCCACATACAGACCGGTTCCCGCTCACTGGCTGAGCGAGGTGCAGGTGCAGCACCAGGGGTTGCGATCCCGTTGCCGGTCCCGGTCCAGTGCGGGCGCGGCACTGAGGGTTGCGATCCGTTGCCAGACACGAAAAAAAAAAAAAGACAAAAAAAAAAAAGAAAACCCTGTAATGTACAGAAAAGAGAAACCCCCAAATGCAAACATGCGTATAACAAGTAGCTCAAAATTGTTGATCAGAGACATGCAAATTAAAACAATAACACACTATGCCTTTACACCCATTAGATTGGCAGTGATTAAGAAGCTGGCTACTGCCAAGTGGAGGCAGGGAGAGGGCTACACAGGAACTCCCCTGTCCTGCTGCTAGGAGGGTTGATGGAGCAGCTATCCTGCAGAGGATCCTGGTTCTATGTAGTCAAATTGAGCACATGCATACCCTCGGACCCAGGGGTCCCACTCCGAGTACATGCCCCAGGGAAATGCTCACATGGATCCAAAAGAGGACATGTGAGAGGATGTTCTTTGAGCATTGTCTTTGGTGGCTGGGAGATGGAAGCTACCTGGGTGGGTATCCCTGGGAGAATGGAGAGGGAACATGTGGTAAACGTATGCCACAGAGAATTATGCAGCAATTAACAACAATGGAGTTATCGTATACTTAGCAATCTGAACATATCTTAAAACAATTATTTGTGGAAAAAAGTAGTAAACAGAATTTTATATACATATATATGCACATAGACATACACACACACACAGATGTATATGTGTATATAGAAGAAGGAAGGAAGGAGGGAGGGATGTGGAAAAAAGTAGTAAACAGAATTTTATATACATATATATGCACACAGACATACACACACACACAGATGTATATGTGTATATAGAAGAAGGAAGGAAGGAGGGAGGGAAGAGGAGAGAAAACCCTGCCTCACTCAGGTCCTGGAAAACAAGGACCTCTCTCTCTCTCTCCTCCTCAGAAGCCAGCAAGGGGCCAGGCACAGATGGGTGTGTGCACGTTTGTTGGATAAATGAACAAAGGAGTGCCTAGAGCCAGCCTGGCTGAATTATGCAGATCATCCTCTGTGACTGCATCTTAGAATCCCTGGGTGTTGGTCAGCCTGTCACTACCAACTTGAGAGCAGAACACTTTGTTCCATCAAAGTGATGGAAGTAAGGTAGGGTGGCAGGCAGAGGCCACCCAGTATTGAATACCTGCGCTATACCAGGCACAGCACTAGGATCCTACAAATTAAAGGTTATTATCCTTATTATATAGGTGAGAAAACTGAAAATTAAAGAGTTCATTTGCTCAGGGTTAATCTAGCTGGACCAGAATTGGAATCCAGGTCTAACTTACTCCCAAGTCCTTTATTTGTCCTTTTCTTTTTGTTACATTACATTCAGCCCTCAAGGGGCAGGAGGAGGCGGTATCGCAATCATCTTTCTTCAACCCTGTGTCTAGAGCAGTGCTGCTTGCAGAATTTTCAGGGCCCAGGCAGGGGAACAGGGGCCTTGGTCCTCTGGAGGCATGAGGGATTCTGGCCACGCTGAGTTTCTCCTAGCCGTGCACTGCTTTCTCATTTCCCTGCCTTAGTTCATTTCCCTGGGCTTGTATTACAGCCAGCTTCAGACTGGTCTCCTTATCCCCATTTTCGACTCTCCCTCCTTTCAAATTCAGCCTGCTTAGGCTATTAGGTTAATTTTATAGTTTCTTTTGCCCCAAAACCTTGAATGACAACCTCACTGTCTTTGGTGAGAAGCTAAAGAATTGTAAATAGGTTTCCTCTCTTTTACCATCTTCAGTGGATTGATGGTGGCTGATTGAAACGTGTGTTGAGGAGGATTCTGAGGCTCTTTAAAAGGCTCCACCAGAAAGAGCTCCTGGGGGAGGTTCTTGATATCTGTCATAGGCGGAGGAATACAAGACAGTAACATGCATGCCAGGTATCTGTCAACCGTTTGGACTGAGTTTTTATCCTAGGGTCCTTTATTGATTTCGTAGGGGCTGTGAACCCCTGGACATTGTATGCAAATAAATAAATAAATAATTGTGTGTGTGTTCCTCAGCACTTTTCTGAAGAGAAATTTGACCATATTCTCAAGAGTCCTCAGCTCAAAAAAAGTTATGCCTACTGCCTTGGCCACCCTCCTCTGACATTTGAGGCCCTGTGTAGGCCCTGCATGCCTCAGCAGTTGTCTTTTTCTCTGCTGTGAACTGTTGCCCAAATGGATCTGCCTGATGGTCTCTGAATGTTCTTTCCCTGCTTCACAATCATATCCTGTTCCTTTTGCCTTGACTGGCGTGCACTTCCTCCCACTTCTCCAAACTCTTCCTGATCTTCAAGACTCTGTTCAAGTCTTTTCCCTAGAAACCTCTGATTTTCTTTAGCCTCTCCTGATTTTCTATCTTTCTGGCTTGAGGCCCAAAGAGGTGAGGCCCATCCCATCAGAATCACAATTAGGATCAGAACTCCAGACTGTTAACTTTCAGAACCATGTACTCTCCACTGTACCACATGGCCTGCTAAATGAGGAGAAAGAGGTTTTGTACAAAAAGAGATTTTTGTCTCACAGAAAATTCATCCTTAGGGTTATAGCCTCTTTAACATTCTTGGCCATAGAAAATTGTTTCTGCATAAAAGAAGTTTAACAGTGTATGTGGTAAGAGGCCATAGACTTTCACCAGAAGAAATCTTCCAAACTAGAGGTGAGAAAGGAGAGTTTCCCAACTTACTCTCTCCACACTTTCCCCTCATGTTTTGTGCCCCAGTCATACCAAACCTCTTGCAGGGCCTCATACATCTTGTGGCTTCTCCTCTGGGTAAAGAGGCTTTTACCTCTGCCTGGAATACTCCTTTCCCTCCCTCACCCCCTTTTGTCTGGCTAACTCCTCTTTATTATCACGTCCTCAGAGAGGCCTTTCCGGTCACTGAGACTGGGTTAGGTTCCCTTGCTGTGCACCTGCAACCTGTAGTCCCCATTCATAGTACTCCTGGGGTGTGTAGTTCTGTGCTTAGGGTCTGTTCCTGCCCTCAGGCTTTGACAATGCCTGTCTCATTCACTGCATCAGCATAGTAAAAGGTACCTCAACATCATGGCTGAATGAGTGAATAAGTACATGATGTTTCTCATCATCCTCCCAAGCCTTAGTTACCTGCTTACTTCAACAGCACAGATTTTATTTGGCTTGGTCCGGAGGAACATTTACCACAGATCATGGCATAAGAATTGTGCTTGGACTCAAACCCAAGCCTTTGGACTCTGCCCAGTTCTCATTCAGCTAGAACCCATTGAAGAGTAGACAGCCTGACGGTTCCCCCAAGTCCCTTCCACCCTTTTCTCATAAGGAGATCCTCCCTAGTTGGTAAATCATACTCTCGACTTTTGGTCTCCCCATTTCCTGGAGCTATAGACTCATTTCATGCTGTGCCAAGTCCTCCCTCCCCTAAATTGTACTTCCCTAGAGCAGCCCCGTGTTTTCTCACCCCCATCCAGAATTAGCAGAGAACCAAGCACATGCCATACTCATTGGCTGAGATCAATTTAGTCTTTGTCTATCATGTTACATGGAACCAGGTTTCATCTAGAGGAACTGTGGTAAGGTAAGGAGGAATCCGGGTTTGGAGTCATTATTGACCTGGGTTCCAGTCACTGCACCACCCCTTAACTAGCTATGTGACCGTAAGCAGTTCGTTTTACCTCACTGAGCCTGTTAACTCATCCATGAGGAGAGGAGATTACCATCAGCTCTTTAAGGTTGTGTGAAGAGTCAATGAACACATGAATGTGAAGTACCTAGGGCAGCTCCTGATTGTAGAAAGTGCTCAGTAAGAGTTGGTTCTGTTTGCTCCCCTTCTTTCTATCCACCCCCACACTGTAGGGTCCCCTGCTCCTGGAACCCTACAAAGAATTCAGACTTTTAGTGGTATATTTTAAACCCTATATTTGTTCATTTATTGCACAATTTTTGAGCTCCTACTATAAGCTAAGTACTAGCATATACGTGTGGACTCTGCTTGGAACGTAATTTAGCATTTCTAACATTCTTTCCATTTTTCCTTGGGTCGAAGAATTTCCAATTTCCAAATAGCTACGATACAGATAAACTTCAGGAATGTGATCATTTTATAAACTGGGAACTTCCTAGGTAAGATGTGAAATTAGGCATTCTGTGCTCAGTTTGGGGAAATTAAGGAAGAGAGAGCAATCCATTGACTGGGTGAGTCCAGGAAGGCTTCTCAGGAGAGTCCACAAGCCAGGATTGTATCACACAGCATGAGAGTAGTATTCAAATAGGCAAAGAGGCAGGGAGAGAGCATTCTGGACCAAGGGAGTGAGAGCGTTAGGATAGGGAAGGCACATTCTTTTCTCAGAAGGCCAGGAGGATAACGACAGGGAATAGACTCATATAAAGGAAGAAAGAGAGGGGTAGGGGAAGCCTTGGTGAGGGGAGTGACCAGAGGAGCTGGGATTGGGGATTTAGTTCTCAAAGGCCTCTATTTCCAGACTCATCCAGCCTCGCTATTCATTGACTATGTCATTTCTTCTATGGTTATTTCCATTCTTATGTCAACGATAAACCATACGCTGAAAATATTATTGTCTCTTTTTAGGCTTTTGTCAGAAGGTGCAGATGTCAATGCAAGGCACAAACTTGGCTGGACAGCACTCATGGTGGCAGCCATCAACCGAAATGACAGGTGAGAGATCTCCTTCCACACAAGGCTCCCGTAGCCAGATCTCTGCAGACTATATTCCTGAATATTCTCCCATCCTTGCCTGCCCCCTGCTGTCTACTCCAGAGCTCAGGGATGAGGATTCAGTCCAAAGTACTGGACTGCATTTGGTGCATTGGACTGTATAGTAGATATGGAGAGGAGAGGTGTGGCTTTGAATCCCGCTTCATCATTCATTGGCTTTATGATCTTAGGCAAGTCATTTGCACTATTGTAGCAACCAAATGTTTAAAGCCTGTTGTAAATGGTTAAGTGTACATGTGTGAGTTTTTACCATGTTCTCCTTATCCACTCTCTATCCATGTTGAGAATTCTGCAGTCCTTGTCCACAGCAAGGGCTTTTTTGGAGGTTCTGATGGAACCTTCCTTCCCTGCCACTGGAGGCTCTGCTATTTTCCTACCCACTCACCCATTCCCCCAGGGTTGTAGCTATTGTGTGAAGATTGAAATAGTCCACTTTGTATGGACAGTTCACTTTGTATGGACAGTTATTTCTAACTCTTACAATCACCCCACAAAATATATATTATTATGCTCATTTCACATATGAGGAAACTGAAGCCTAAAGAGGTAAAGTCATTTGTCTAAAATGACATGGACAGGATTTATAACCAGGTCTGGCTGCCTGCAAAGTCTGTGTTTTTTCTGTATCTTGCTGGTGCCTCCCTATGCCAGATCCTAGACAGGTTCTAGTAGTTCTAGATGCTGCCTTTCCATCCCAGTTCTAATTTCTGCCCTGGAATCTGTATAACTCTGGAAGAACTGTGATGAAGTGTACATTCACTCTAGCTAGACTGTGCAAAAGAATTGGTTAAATAAGAGCAAAAGGGGATACTTTCAGTGAAAGCAGTCTGGTTGCTTTAGTGGCAGTCACTGAAGTTGATAGTTGGAGTTACCAATTCTAATTCTCTCTTCAAGCAGGTCTTTAAGGCTTTTATCTGCCAGTACTGGCCACCTTTGGAAGGGTCATAATGTGGAGGAAAGCAACAAAACTGGAATTTTATAGTATAGGGATAGTACTGTTTCAGACTGGCTGACTTAGCTGTACTTCAGATCTCTCTTCTCTGCTTTATTGTGAACTTATTCTCAGTCACTCAATTTCCTTATTTGCCTTCTTTAGCTCTAAGCACTTATTCTTTAAAGAAAAACTTTGATATAAGTAGACTTTGCAGTTGAGAGACCTGGAATCCAGTCCTGGTTCTGACCCTTAGTTGAATTTTAGAACTCCATGGACGCCCTGTTTCTTCATCAGAAATTTATTTTTACAAACATTTAGTAAATTTCTGCTCTGACCGGGCCCTGTGCTAGTGTTTGAAGAATCAGAGACCTTGAGTTCCCAGTCTAATGTGGAAAAGAAATGCAGGTAAGAGACATAGTATAGAGTAATCAGTGATATCAGAAGCAGAGGTTTGAGGGGACTTCATCTGGCCCCAGAATAGATTCTCACTATATTCTTTTGATAATCAAATAAGATAATATATGTGCTACAGGTTATAAATGGTGAGTTGTTATTCCCTGATGCCCACATTAGACCTTTCTACACACAAACACAAATGTGTTTATTCTGTAACACTGATACTACAGTGATACTACTACTGATACCCCACCCACCAGTCTTCTTCCCCAAGCTTGCAGGTGTTTCCACCTGCAAAAAATAGCCAGTGGTGGTGAAAAAGGAAGAGGTGTGTTCCCTTCTATGTGTAGTATTTTCAGGATTGAGACTGGATAGGAAATAACACTATACTTAAGAGTACTGTCAATTAGTGATCAAAGAGCTGGTAGATGTGCTTTTGGGGACATTTCACTCTGAATCTAATGAGTTGTTGGTTTAACTGATTGCTCTGTCTTGATCCAGGGCCATTAGCAAATGAGTGATGCTTGCTGAGCAAAGTGAGAGTGTTGGCTTGTATTTACTTGCTTTGGTTCCAAGGACTAATTATTAGTTTTTTAGCCTCCATTTTGTGCCCTCCTCTTCCTTTCAGTATCTAGGGAGGACAGATTTTTATTGAAAATAGCATACTCTCGGGCTGGATTTATTTATTCATTTCATGAAATTTTTGTGGCCTCTACTGTTTGCCAGGTACTGTTCTAGGTACTTGACATAACATCAATGATAAACGAAGAACCCTGCCCTCATAAAGCTTACTTTTATACTAGTGGTAGTCCCTGTGTAGAGAGAGGCATGGACAGACAATAAATGGTATAATGCATAAGTAAAGTAAATAATATATTAGAGTGTAGGAAGTGCCATGGAAAAAAGGAAAAGTAGAAGTTGTTAAAAAGGGAGGGCTAGCTGGTTAACTCAGTTGGTTAGATTGTGGCATTTTAACACCAAGGTCAAGGGTTTGGGTCCCTGTACTGGCCAGCCACAAAAAAAGGCTGGGGGCAGGGGAAGTACCAGGAGTACATTGGTCAGGGTGAGTAGGCCTCATTGGGAAGGTGCCATGTGAGTAGTCTTGAAGGATTATCATGTCCATATCAGCACAATCTGCCAGTAAGTTTCTCCTTATTAGAAGTGTGCTGATTTTCATATAATCAGTCACCGAATCCTTCTAGAATCATATTGGCCAGGCCCGAAGTGCTGCCACCTTTGAATTGGATTTGGAGGAAGGGAAGGTAGAGAAACAGTATCCCTTGATTCTAGGCTGAAAGCAGAGACCCTTCACCTCCTTTAGAATGTTGGCAGCCCATAAGCTCAAGAGAGAGATCCTGAAAGTAGCCCAGTCTTTTCACCCTCAGACACCAGCTTAATGTTATGTCCTTAGGGATATAGGATAGAATAGTCTCTGTCCATAAGGAGCTTACCTTCTTGTGAACTTTTATTTCTGTATATATTATTTTATTTACTTTTGAATAAGAGATGCAATGCTATCATGCTAAATTCAAAAAATATTCAGGGGAACTTAATTTATAATGTATTTCCTCTTTTTAGTTCCAAAAAGGGTTTGAGGTGACTTAAATTAAAATACAAATATAAATATACACCAGGGAGTTAAAACTGGATTAAGATAAAAAATCATATTGGTAAAAGGAAAGATAATTGTATCAGGATTGAACAAGAGATTTTCTTTTCTGAAAATAGGTTTATTGTTTTTGTAAAAATAATATAGAGAAGAAAGTAGCAGTCAACCTGAATTCCCTCTATCTAGAGATTGATCATTGTATATATGTTTATATGTGTGTGTATAATTTTACATAAATGGGACCATGCTGTACTCTCTGTAAATTAGGAAATTAGTGAAATTGAATGTCATTTTAGATTGAAGTTTCCTAACAAGCAAGGCAAAAAGAGTTTGGTTCATCAGAAGAGAACTTTGTTCTGGCATTCCATTATATTATCATTTTCTGTGTCCAGCAAACCTTTTTTTAAAACTATACTGTGTCAGGTGGTGCTGATGTGCTAGGCTATGAGGGGATTCAGAAAATAAGCAGTCACAGCCTTTGCCTTAAGAAGCTTACTTGGACTACTGACATCAAGGACTTGAGTGATGTGATGGCCATTGTCTTCGGTAGCCATTCTGCCAAAGATTTATCAACATTCTACTAGGACAGTCTTTTTGCCAGCCCTAGTAACGGCTTGGGTGTAGTATTGACTTAAGGAGCAGTCACTGGGGTCTGGCCCCCTTCTCCAGAAGGATAGTGAGCCCTCTATAAGCCTCATGCCACAAGGCACTTGTTTAGCTTGAGTCTGGGTGCCTCATTCTATGTTGTACTCTGACCTAGCCCAGCTAAAGGCTAAGCCACAGGGTCCCAGGATGATCACTGTGACTTAGCACAGCCTTCACCGGCTCGTGCAAATATACCCAGCCTTCAGCTAAATTCAATTAGTTTTTCTTTAAGAAGGAAAAGAAATCCAATTTTACCAAACACGGACAGACGGTGGAAGGCACTTTGATGTTACAACCTCTCAGAGATGCTTTGCTTAGTCACAAGTTCATAAGCAAGAAGGCTTAATTACTTGGGAAAACACAGGATTAAAACTGGACACAATGGCTGAGTATCCGCTCTCGGGCGACTTGATTCGAACCCATGCACCCAGTTCGTGTGTGGTGCAAACTTTGATGTGTGCTATGACAAGCTGAAAGTCATGACCCCCTCGGGGAAGCTCCTTCAGATGGCATTTGCAGGGTGTGTAGGCGGAGAGTTAGGGTCTGCCAGGCTTGTTTGCTCAACTTTGATGTCCAAGCAGCCACAGGCCCCACTGTTTGCTCTTTCACTGAGGGATGGATTGGGAGCCTCCTACCTTTCCCAGTGGACAATGGCCAGCAATGGAGTGTGACGACTGTTGACCATTCCAGGAGCCTGGTGGACCAGAACAGGGCTTTGGGAGGTGCAGAGCCTGGGAGGCCAAAAGCCATTTATAGGACAGTAATTTCTCCAGATGTAGCTTTCCTTAAACCCCTAGTTAGTGTTGGTTGGGTGCTTGTAGTGGAGATAAAAATAGTCTGACAAGTTTTAGCAGATACCAAGTACTGCTTGACCCTCTGTCTAACACACTAAGGTATTTGTAAATTGAAAATTTAAGTCTTTTCTATTCTCTTTGTCAGAGTATATGTGCAGGGGATGTGGTTTAGAAGAAAAATGGTATGATTTAGATCCTTATCATTTCTAATTCCTCAAAAAAGAAGCTGTCAAAACATTTCTGATAAAGGAATAATATCCAGAACATATAAAGAACTCTTACAAATCAATAATAAAAAAACAAACAATCCAGTTTTTAAAAAGTGGGCAAAAGATTTGAGCAGTGTAAGCAGACACTTCACCAAAGAAGAGATGAATGGCAGGGGGCTGGCCAGTTATCTCAGTTGGTTAGAGTATAGTGCTGATAACACCAAGGGTCCAGAATTCAATCCCTGTACCAGAGAGCCACCAAAATTAAAAAACAAACAAACAAACAAAAACTTAGGGAAAAACAAAAGAGATGGGTGGCAAATGAGCACATGAAAAGACACTCACCATTGATA